GTGACTTTCACTCACTCACTCACTGCCTTTACCAAGGAGCTTTTTCTGTTTTGTAATTTTGCATGTTTCTCATTGTGGCCTTTATTTTTCACTTATAGAAGTCACTTTAACATTTCTTCTAAAGCTGGTTTGGTGGTACTGAACTATTTTAGCTTGTCTCTAAAACTTTTGATTTCTCCATCAAATCTCAGTGGTAGATTATCTTTGGTTGTAGGTTTTTCTCTTTCATTACTTTAGTTTCAACTGAAAATCAGCTCATTGCCTTATAGGAGTTCCCTAATTTCTTTTCCCTTGCAACTGTTAATATTTTCTCTTATATTTAGCTTTGCTGTTTGGATTACGTGTGTCTTGGGGCGGTCCTCTTTGGGTAGATCCTGTTTGGGACTCTGTGCTTTCTGCACTTGGAGGTCTGTTTCCTTTTCCAGGTTAGGGAAGTTTTCAGCTATTATATGATGTCTTCACACATGTTCTCTGCTCCAGTCTCTCTCTCCTCTTTCTGGGCCCTCTGTTATGTGAGTGTTAGTGCATTTGATTTTATTCCAGAGATTTATTAAACCTCCCTCATTTTTTTATTCTTTTTTTTCTGTTGAGCTTCAGTGATTTCCACTGTTCTGTCTTCCAGCTCACTGATCTGTTTCTCTGTATCATTTAATCTACTATTGATTTCTTCCAGTATATTTTTCATTTAGTTTGTGTATTCATCTCTGTTAAACAGTTTTAACTTCTCACTCTGTTTTTCCATTCTTCTCCTGAGTTCTTTGATCATCTTTACAATTATTTTTTGAACTATTTTGCAGGTAGATTGCCTATCTCCACTTAATTCTCTTTCTGGGGTTTTATCACGTTCCTTTATTTTAACTCGTGTTTCTCTGGCACCTCATTTTGTTGATTTGCTGTTTTTATTTCTCTGTATCTAGGAGGTTATGTTTCCTGACCTTGGAGAAGTGGCCTTTTGTAGGAGACATCCCGTCCATCAGCCGACTCCCCACTGGTCTCCAGAGCTGCCTGCTCTAGGGGTACCGTGTGTGGGCTGTGTGTGTGGATCCTTCTGTTGGGGAGGGTAGACTCCTGGGGCAGGCTGGCAGGCATGACTGGCTCCAGGTCCAGTTGTTTGCCAGGCCCAGCCTTGCACTGAGGCTGCCAGCTGCTGATTGTTGAGCTGTGTCATGGGGTGGCTGTTTTTCAGAATTCATAGGGTCCCCAGTACTAGAGCTGTCTCACAGGTAGGTGGAGTTGGGGTCCAGGAGATCCTGGGTTGTCCACCCCACACATGGGGGAAACCAGGTCTTGGGACTAGTGCTGGCTTACTGGTGGGCAGAGCAGGCTAGTTGCAACGTTCAGCAGTCCCAACATTGGGGTCAGACTGCTGACGGTTGTGGCCTGTTCCTGACACAGCTGGCTGGGGGGTCCTGAGTGTCCTGAAGCTTATCTGAGCTCTCTAGTGAGTGGGGCTGGTGGGGAGAATGGCTGAAGAGCCCAAGATTTCTCAGAACTGTTTACCTGCTGCTAGGGTGAGGGGCCAGCTGGTCCCGGGCTGGTGCTGGACTGCTGGTGGGTGGGTTTGACCCTGCCATGGTAGGCTGCAGGACTCAAGTTGACCTTGGGCTGGTGTCTACTCACTGGCGGGTGGAGTGAGGCTCTGGTCCTAAGGTTAGAGCAGGCTTGCTGATGGGGAGTGGGGAGGCAGGGCACCCAGGATTCTGGGGCTGGTGCCTGCCCACTGGTAGGTGAAGCTGTGTCTCGGGGTCTCTAGCTGCAGGGCCCTGGGGGTCCCAGCATGCTGGTGTGTGGGGCCAGGTCTTCGGCCCTCTGGTGGGCAGGGCAATGTCCAGGGGTGGCTCTGGGCTCAGGGACTCTTAAGGAAGCTGTCTGATGATGGGTGGGGCTGTAGTTGGCACTGGTGAGTGCCATGAGACATCCCAGTACTGGTGCCTTTAGGCTAGTGGGTGGAGTGGGGCTGGGTTCCCGAGGCTAGCAAGCTAAAGGGAGGATTCAACAATATTGGTTGCTAGCACTAATGTCCACATGGTACAGGGAGGTCCCCAAAGTGACTTTAGCCAGTGTCTCTGTCCCCAGAGTGAGCTCCAGTTGCCCCCTGCTTCTACAGGAGACCCTCTAAGATCAGCTGGAAGGTCTTACCCAGGCTCCTTTCAAATCTGTTTCTTTCCTGGGTCTGTAAGTGTGTAAAATTTTGTGTGTGCCCTTTAAGAGTGGAGTCTGTTTCTCATAACCCTCTGGGTCTTCCAAAAGTTAGCCCCACTGGCCTTCAAAGCCAAATGTTTGGGGGCTCACCCTGACACAGGATCCCTGGGCTGGGGAGCCTGACTCCTCCTTCCTTAGGCAGAACCTTTGCAATTGTAATTATTGTTTGTGCATTGTCCACCCAGGGGCATGAGGCTTGACTGGACCATGATTCTGCCCTCCTACCTCCTGGTTGTGTTCCTTCTTTTTATCTTCAGTTGTAAAAGGCCATTTATGATAGATTTGGGTCTTTTTCATAAATAATTATTCTGTAAGTAGTTGTGATTTTGTTGTGCTGGTGAGAGTTCAGCTCAGGATGTTCCTTCTTTGTCATATTGGGAACTCTCTCATCTACATAACGTTCTTAATATTTAAAGGATTAAAAAATAAAGTTATATATGAACTTTTTTGAATATGTGTTCAAAATGAACATAATTTGAATATGTATTTTGTTAAAAAGGTAATTTAAAATAAACTCTATAAAAATTAAAAATTTAAAATGTTTTCCTATTTTGGGGGTATAATTCAAATATAGTTTTCAGAAAAGTATTTCCTTCTAAAATATACAAACATCTATTAAAATGAGGACAAATGCAAGTCATTATTTCATATAAACTTTTACATAAATCACTTGAATAAAGCTAAAATTTAATGAGTTAAATCTCATAAATCTAAATTTCAGACATAAAAATATTGACAGTTCTAGAATTCAAAACCATCTAGTTGGCAGAAAACCAATATCAGGCTTCCTATATGTATATGGAAAACTACATATATACAAACTTTGCAAGTAATATAAATCATTGATTATTCAAAATATCCCCCTAGCTAGTAGTAGATTTGGTTTGCATACTGCATTAATGCATGAGCACCTTCAAATGCATGAATTGGACCCAAAGAAAATGGGTGCTTATTGATACTTTCATATGCAATATTCTACTGCATGCTTCCATAGCTTAAATTCCTTCCCATATTCCAAATCTGTAACTATTTCTGTTGTCAACAATGGCAGTCTGCAAACCTTGGTAGTATTTGGACACTATCACCTACGGTTTCTAGAATAGAGAACAAAAGATATTCCAGTGTTCCTATGGGCTTTAGAGAGTATTAATTATAGGAGCAAGTGGTGTTAGTCACAAAGACAAATGTTTAGTTATGGTTTGTTCTGTGCTAGTACCAAGTGTGGGATCCCCAGTGATAGAGGAAGCTACAAGCTATTTAATTTTTGAGTTTGTATTTGGGATAAGTAGAATCCTCTTTATGTGTGGACTGCTAGGGCAAGAGTCTTCCCTTATCTGGGCTTCAGGGTAGTAGTGCATTAAATTCCGACCTATAAATTTATCAAATACATGTTTCCTCTTATGATATGGAGGGATACTAGACATCCAAAGGGAGAAGGATAGGGAGAGAACCAGCAGTGAAGGGGGAAAGGGTGAAATAAATTTGGAAGAAACTGAAGCAAAACATCACCTAATTCATAATTTTGCCTAGGAGTTTGGTCTGTAGGTACTAATATATTACTCTTGTTTATGTGTATAAATGTATGTGTTCTCCCTCTCTGCATTTTTCTTGGTTCTGCAAATTGTCTTGAATTATTGTTTAAGTAATTTGAGAATGTTCAGTTTGGGGTGGTGTTACCTCTTGCATTTATTATTGAGATTTAAGTCCCTCTGGAGTCAGGTTTTGAAAAGCAGGGATGCCCTCAGTTACTTTATAACAATCTAATTTCTTCCATAAGTGCTTTTAGCCTGAAATATTAATTAAAGCATGTTCCTATTATAAATCAAAGTCCTTCGCTTGAAGGAGATTCATAGAACCTCAATTAGAAATTCTCAGAGGACACTTTCAACCTGCATATAGTTAGGGATATTTTGGGTTTGGTTGTGTCTATACTTAAAGCCAGAATTGGCCAAAATTCATATTGAATAAAGATAAATGTGTCCAGTAACACTACTTTTGTCTCTATTTCCCAATTCTGTATGTCCAGATCGAAATGTGATTTTAAGTTACAGTTTTGAGCAAGAGATTTTTAAAAGTTACATTTAGAAAATATTACTATATGGGAAAATAATCTCTAAAAAGTGTTGATATATGTATATGAATAACTGATGCACTTTGCTGTATACCTGAAACTGACACAGCATTGTAAATCAACTAGACTCCAATAAGAATTTTAAAAAGAAAAGAAAATCCTGCTTAAAGAAATGGCAGAAGAGTCACAGAGTACAAAATAATTTTAGCTGAACTTAAAAGGTGAAGAAAAAAAAACAGCTTATCTTATAAGTTAGATATATTTCTTCTCCTTAATTCTTTAAGTATTAAATATCCAGGCCAGAAATGTGATCTACTCATTCACATTTCCAGTATTAATCAGGAATTATGCCTCCTAGTTTGGTTCATGTTTTATTCATACTTACAGGTTTTAATTCTTTCTGGCACTTTAGTATCAGGCTAAAAGTAGTCAAAATATGAAAACTTGCAGATAAATAGAAAAATGTTGGTATGTTATCACTCTTTAACTCAGCAGAATGCTCACTTTTTCCAGGAAAGCACATTAGAGCATTCACGTTTCTACATAGGACCAAACAGATGATTTTTGCATTTTGTAAAATTTCAGGTCTGTCTTTAGCAATTCACTTTGCCTTAACCTCAGATATAATGTTTTCTCCCTTTCTGAAATATGAATAATAAAAGTAGACTGGAACACAGCATTGTTGGCAAACCACACATTATTAAATGTTTGATTTTATCTATTACAGAACATGAAAAGCAGAGGTTATGCAAGAGCACTGATTATATGAATTTGCATTTCAAAGTGAAATGGTTTTATAATGAATATGTGCGGGAACTTCCTGCCTTCAAGGATGCCGTTCCTGAATACTCCTTGTAAGTAGTGATTTTTTCACCCCCAAGTTTATTCTCAATTCATAGTCCTGTAAAATTACACCTGAATTATGCAGCCCTAAAATCTCTTCACATAATGTTCATTTGAATGCAGACATTTCTGTTATGAAATTAGCATTACATGATTTGCATATCTTTGGGAAGTATATTTAATTGAATTGTGTTGCATTTTTCAAGTATGTCTTACTTGGATATTCAAGTCAAAGAGAAAGAAATACATAATACATAACAGCTCATACGATGAAATGATTTCTTGTAAAAGTGCTTGAATTCGGATTTTGTTAGTAAAATGAAGGAGGCTTGTGTATTGATCTATATAGTCCAGATTTCTCTTTGTTTCAAACCTAAACATGTCTTAGAAATTTATATTTCTAAAATAGAAGTCACTGTTAAACAGGTAACATTGTCATACGCTGTTTCTATCAAATACAATTGTTATCACACCATCAGGTTTATAATACAGTACATTTGATATTTGTCAGAATTCCATTTTATTCTGTTGAGGGGGGTCTACCATATCCTAGGCACAATGCCAAGAGTTGTAGGAAATGGAGAAAAAAATAAAGACCTCACCTTGAAAGGAACTTAAACTCAAGGAGACATGGACAAGAACAAAAATCATGATAAACCAAGGCAAATTGAAATAAGTACTAATTCAAGTAGTATAAGCAAAATGCAGTGAGGTCTCACAAAAGAGATATATTACCCCTATTTCAGTGACTCTACACAGTATTTATGAATAAGGTAACATTTAATATAGACTTTGAAAGGTTGGTCAGGTTATAACAAGAAAAGGAAAGAAAAGTTCTGAGGGTAATTATGGAAGAAGGAACACATGGGCTGTGGCCCATGGGAAATAGTTTAATTTCAGTGAAGAACACAATATTTTTACAAAATTAATAGTAATGTAGGAAAAGTGCTTTTGACTAGATTGTATAAATACAGTGGAGCTTTTGCTACTTTCATTAGGCATTGTGGAGGTTGGAAGAGGCAAAGAATGGAAGGGGTAGAGAAGAGATTTAGGAGGTAGTGAGGAATGTAATGATAAGATTAGAACACCCATGTATATAACTTTTCTCAAAGAAGTTTATAAGCTAGAATGAGATACCAAGAGAAGTAAAAAGTTTACACATAATAGTGTGACTGTAGTAAAAGTGTGAAGGATGAAGATGTGTGGGAGATAAATTTCAAAGAGAATTTACAGAATTTGTCAGCTAAATACACTTGAGGGTAGAAGAAAGAGTTAAACATGCAGTACAAGTGTCTAAGTGTTGGTGACATCATTGACTGGGAATAGGGAAATAAAAAGGGGAGCTATTTGCCAGAGATTTCTGCTTCTGGCTCTGTCTGAACTAACTAAAATCAGACTAACATGCTCACTGAAGACCAACTATGAAAGCTGAATAAATTAAACAGCATCAGAGAGCAATTAAGGCAAGTCACTAAGGACTGAGGCACTAAGGCAAATCAAGGATTGAGTCAGTAAGGTCCCTGAGAAAAGAAATGCACTGAGATGAACCCTGTGTGTGTTGCAGTTTCTCCCCAGTCCTCTCCAGCTACATACATTTACCAATTTGCCATACCAGTTATGGTGGTCAAACAGAGAACAGTAACCCAGAGTTGATAGTCATCTCCCTGGGCTGGAAAAACAAACATTGGTGTTCAGGGCTATAGAGGATGCTTGGTCTTGTGGGACCAAGATCTCGGAATAAAGGGGACTACAGAGAAGTAAGTACACCATGTTGTATGCAGTTTCTTTTTGAGGTGTTCACTGATTCCTAATCTGCCCTTGTGTGGAGAGTGAGGCAGAAATCGAGTAGAGTGCAAGCACTAAGAGATTAAAAAGCTATGTAGGGACTTCAACATTCTCAAAATGTTAGGGAGACAAAAATTAGAAGGGAAGCCTTTCTAAGAAAGAAGAAGCACTTTAAACATCCCAGTTTTTCAGGTGAGATCCCTAAAGGACCTCTGTTCTAATTATAAGGGCAAACTGGGAAATAGAGCAGCCTGAAACCCAGCCTTTCCTGGATCTTGGTGATCTTCCTACATTCTGTCTACAAGCAAAAACTTAGATCTGCTCTAAAGGAAATGATAAATCAAAGGTTCCACGATTTTTGATAGACAATGAACAATGTTTAAAAGGTTAAAGATAGCCACACAGTAGGACCAAATGACTAGAATCCAAGAGAAAAAGAGATATTAGCCTTATCAGACATAGTTTGGTATGTCCTTCAAATTGTGGGAGGACTTCAACAGTAAAAAGGAACCTATAAGAAGAATAAATTGGACATCATAGAATTGAAAAAGGAAAAGTTAGGAATGTAACAGATGGACCTAATGGCAGAATATACACAGCAGAGGGCCTAAAATAACTGAGCCATAGAAACAAAAAATACAAATATAGAAAAAAATAAAACAGGAATATATGGGGCAAATTATAAAAAGATCTGGTATACAATGAAATGGGTCCTAATAAAAAGAGAAGAGAGAAAGAATAAATAGTATTTGAGCAGTGTGTAAAAAGATAACTAGGTGTGGATTTTGCAAAACTGATGAAAAGTTTAAAGCTAAAGTTCAAGAATTTTTATAAATCCTAAGAAGGATAAATGCAAGGAAAACCACCTGCAGGCACATCATAGAAAACTGCTTAAAATCAAAAAGAAGTAAAATTTAAGTGTACTGGGGTCAAGGAAGGGAAGACACTACCTTCAAAAGAGCTGCAGTAATACAATTGACTGATTATTCAACAGTAGTGACTGAAACCTGAATACAATGCAATGATATCTTCCAACTGCTGAAAGAGAGCAATTAGAATTCTACAAGCATCACATATATCCTTCAAAAATAAAGGAAAATAAAAACATCTATACAATATAACTGGGGATCTTTCCAGCCCAGAAATTGAACCCAGGTCTCCTGTAGTGTAGCCAGATTCTTTACCAACTGAGCTGCAAGGGAGGCCCAGCTGAAAAGCTAAGAGAACTCATTTCCAGGAGACTCTCATCAACAATATACTCTAAGCCTTCAGACAGAGGAACTCAAGATAAGAATACAGTAATAAAGAATTAAAAGTATTTGAGAAGATGAACAAATTAGTACTTTTAAAGCACATTAGCAATACAAAATTTTAAAAATCTGTAGAATAAAATATGCATAGAATTAAAATAGAGGACAAAAATAGCATGAAAATGTAAAAGACTGATAGACTGAGTTAATATAAGGTCCTCGAATTGTTTGGAAGGTGTAAATACTCATTTTAAAAAGCTTTTACTATGTCTTGGGTGTGTGTATTATAATTTATAGCGCAAGCCCTTAATCTATAATATAATACTAGGCATCAAATAAGATTATGGGGAAGGAGGAGAGAGTAAAACAAAAACTACTTAAAAGGCAAAAAATGAGAAAGAAAGGGATGAAAAGCAAGTAGGAAACTGGGGGTGGGGGTGAAAGATGATAGATTTAAATTTTAATGTATCAGAAAATTAAGTGTATTAATATTAATATTCTATCCAACAAGTATTGTTCTACTAGATAAAATAGTAAAACCCAAAATATCTTTCTTATAATTTATTCACCTAAAACATGAGAGTCTAGAAATGTTAAAGGTTGGAAAAAAATTGAAAGGAAAATTAGCAGCTATATTAATATTAAAAAGTAGATTTTAAGATAAATACTTTGAGAGAAATTTTTCATGATAATTAAGGGAGCAATTCAACAAAAAGATGTATCATTTTTAGTGGAAAGATATTGCATGTTCTTGGATTGGAAGAATTAATATTGTTAAATGGTCATACTATCCAAAGCAATCTACAGATTTAATGTGATCCCCATCAAATTACCCATGACATTTTTCACAGAACTAGAACAAATATTCCTAAAATTTATATCACACCATGAAAGACCCCAAATTGCTAAAACAATTCTGAGGAAAAAGAACAAAACTGGAGGTATAGCCCTCCCAGACTACAGACAGTACAACAAAGTAACAGCAATCAAAACAGCATGTTACTGGCACAAAAACAGATATATGGGTCAATGGAACAGAAAGGAGAACCCAGAAATAAATCCACACACCTACAATCAATTAATCTTAGACAAAGGTGGCAAAAATATACAAAATATGAAGACAGTTTCTTTAGCAAGTGATGTTGAGAAAGCAGGACAGCTACATGTTTATCAGTGAAGTTAGAACATATCCTCACACCATGCTCAAATATGACACCATAAAACTCCTGGAAGAGAACACAGGCAAGCATTCTCTGACATAAATCCTATCAGTGTTTTTCATTAGGTCAGTCTCCTAAGGCAATAGAATTGAAAACAAAAATAAACAAATGGTACCAAATCAAACAAGCTTTTGCACAAAACAGAAGCCACAAACAAAATGAAAAGACAACCTATGGAATGGGAGAGAATATTTGCAAACAGCATGACCAACAAGGGATTAAATTCCAAAATACAAAAACAGTTCACATGACTCAACAACAACAACAAAAACAATCCAATCAAAAAATGGGCAGAACAAATAAATATCACTTTTCTATTTGTTCAAGCTTAAAAAAAGTGGGCATAAGACCAAAATAGTTCCCCAAAGAAGACATATACAGATGGTCAATAGGCACATGGAAAGATACTCAACAAAACTAATTAGAGAAATGCAAATCAAAACTACTGAGATATCACCTCACACAGGTCAGAATGGCCAACATCAAAAAGTCTACAAATAACAAATGCTGAGAAGGTATTGAGAAAAGGGATCCCTCCTATACTATATATGTTGGTGGGAATGTACATTGGTTCAGCCACTATGGAAAACAGTATGGGGGTTCCCTAAAAAGCTAAAAATAGAGTTGCCCTATAATTCAGCAATCTCACTCCTAGGCATATATCTGGAAAAAATTAACTTGAAAAAATACATGCACCCTCAAATTCATAGCAACAATATTTACAATAGGCAAGTCATGGAAGCAACCTAAATATCCACTGACAGATGAATGGATAAAGAAAATATGGCTCAAATATACAATGGAATATTACTTATCCATAAAAAAGGATGGAACGTTGCCATTTGCAGCAACATGAATGGACCTAGAGGTTATCGTCCTAAATAAGTCAGACAGAGAAAGAAAGAATACCATATGCTATCACATTTATGAAATCAAAAATATGATACAAATGAACCGATTTACAAAACAAATACTCACTCATAGACACAGAAAGCATTCTTATGGTTACCAAAGGGGTAAAGTGGAATAAGGATAAATTAGAAGAGTGGGATTAACAGATACAAACTACTATATATAAAATAGATAAACAAGGCCCTACTGTTTAGCACAGGGACTATATTGAGTACCCCATAACAAACCAGAGTGGAAAAGAATATGAAAAAGAATATATAATGTAATATATACAACTAACTCACTTTCTTGTACACCAGGAACAACACAACATTGTAAATCAACTGTACTTCAATTAAAATTTTTCAAAAATAAAGTTTAAAAAGATATATCATTTCTCAATTTGTATGTATTAAATGACATGTCAGCAAAATATATAAAGCAAAAATTGTCAGAAATAAAATGAAAAATAAAATCTACAGTTCTATTTGGAGATTACAATTCTTTCAGAAACTTAAGAATCAGACAAAAATGTCATTAATAAAGACATTTCAAAAGCATGAATAAAACAGAGACATTTATCTACCCAGATATGTCTCTATTTGCTCACCCAGAGTTTCCACAAATTTTCATAGATATCATTTACACATATCCATACACACACAGAATGCCTATCTATAATTTATAATTAACCAGCAGTGAGAAAATACACATTTTTAACAGACATACATGGTGCACTTACCAAAATAGACTATCTGCTGGACCCAAAAGCAAATACAATGAATTTTAAAAGCTTAGACAATATACTGTATGTTCTAGGACCACACATAGGAAATTAAGCAGATACTGTAGATCATTCATAAGTCAAAAAATAAACCAAAGTGTAAATTACACAGTTCAGTTCAGTTGTTCAGTCCTGTCTAACTCTTTGCGACTCCTTGAATCACAGCACGCCAGGCATCCCTGTCCATCACAAACTCCCGGAGTTTACTCAAACTCATGCCCATCGAGTCGGTGATGCCATCCAGCCATCTCATCCTCTGTCGTCCCCTTCTCCTCTTGCCCCCAATCCCTCCCAGCATCAGGGTCTTTTCCAGTGAGTCAGCTCTTCTCATGAGGTGGCCAAAGTATTGGAGTTTCAGCTTCAGCATCAGTCCTTCCAATGAACACCCAGGACTGATCTCCTTTAGGATGGACTGGTTGGATCTCCTTGCAGTCCAAGGGACTCTCAAGAGTGTTCTCCAACACCACAGTTCAAAAGCATCAATTCTTCAGCGCTCAGCTTTCTTCACAGTCCAACTCTCACATCCATACATGACCACTGAAAGAACCATAGCCTTGACTAGATGGACCTTTGTTGGCAAAGTAATGTCACTGCTTTTTAATATGCTATATAGGTTTGTCATAACTTTCCTTCCAAGGAGTAAGCGTCTTTTAATTTCATGGCTGCAGTCACCATCTGCAGTGATTTTGGAGCCCCAAAAAATAAAGTCTAACACTGTTTACACTGTTTCCCCATCTATTTCCACAGTATTTTTAACTAATGATAAAATATAGCATGTCAAAACTTGTGGATTACAGCTAAAACTGGAAATAGAGGAAAATTTATGGCTCTAATTCTATAAAAAGAAAGGAAAAACTATAAAATCAGTGATATAAGTTATCAGAAGAAATATTTAAAATCAAGAGAAAATAGAAAAAATATCAACATGACCTGGGATAAAAATAAAGTAGAAAAGTTTATGTGCTCGGTCCTGTCTGACCCTTTGCAACCCCATGGACTGAAGCCTGTCAGACTGCTCTGTCCATTGAATTTTCCAGGCAAGAATACTTGAGTGAGTTGCCATTTCCTACTCCAAGGGATCTTCCCAACCCAGGGATCAAACCTGCATCTCTCCTGTCTTCTGCTTTGGCAAGCAGATTCTTTACCACTGTGCCACCTGGGGTTAAAACGCCAAGTGTGTTTTTGAGAAGATGATAAAAATCCAAGAAGCCTTAGCAAGGGCAGTGCAAAAAAAAAAATATTACCATTGTCAGGAAAAGATATCACAAAAGATCCTACAAAGATAAAAAAATTATTAAGAAGAACATTTATGGTAGGCCATTTAAAAGTTAGACAAAATGTATAAATTCCTTTAAAACTAAAAACCAAACTAGCATAACAAAAAATATAAAATCTGAATGGGTCTGTAAGTATTTTAAAATTTGAATCCTTAATTAAAGCTCATGTCACAATTAAAACTCCAGGCCCAGATGGCTCCAAATGGAATTCTTCCAAATGTTTAAGAAAGAATATCACCAGTGTAACACAAACTGTTCCAGAAAAGGCAGGAATACTTCTCAAACTATTTTTAAGGTCAGCATATCCTCACTACTAAAACTCATTGAGAACACAGCAAGCAAGAATAATTACAGGCCAATTTCTCTCTGAACATAGTTAAAAAAGTAAATGAAATATTAGCCAATATAAAAAGTCTAATATAAACATGACAAAGGGGAATTTATTCCTGGGATATGAGATTAAACATTTTTTTTTTTTTTAGTCAAAGCAGCTTCCATTTATTTAGTTTTGAAACACATTTTTCATGACTTAGCTTCCTAATACAAAGCATTTTGCCCTTTGTATTAGGAAGCTAAAATTAAACATTTTAAAAGAAATGAACATAATTCACCACATTTAAATTATGAAGGAGAAAATTCCTACAATCACTAAACTTATAGTAATAATTAGATAAAATAGAACATTAATTGAAAATCAAGGACACTCTCTTAATCTAATAAAAGAAACCCCCTGTATTTAAACAAACTATAAAAACATACTTATGGATAAAATTTTGAAAACTTGCCCATGAGATCACGAATGAACAATTTTATACACACACACACACACCTGTCAGTGCAGGAGACACAAGAGACATGGTTCAATCCCTGGGTGGGGAAGATCCCTGGAGGAGGAAAAGGCTACCCACTCCAGTATTCTTTCCTGGAAAATTCCATGGACAGAGGAGCCTGGCAGGCTACAGTTCATGTAGTTGCAAAGAGTCAGACATGACTGAACACACACACACACACACACACGTATATATATACCTGAATCACTTTACTGTACAGTAGAAATTAATACAACATTGTAAATCAACTATACTTCTACACAACGAACTTTTTAAAAAAAAGAACAAAACTGATAACCGATAACATCACTTTTATTTAACATTGTGTTAGAAGTCCGAGGCAGTACAGTAAGACAAATGTCTAACGATTGTAAGAGCATATAATTATGCTGTCAATATGTTTTTATGACATAATTATACATCTAGAAAATTCAAAAGAAACTATGGGAAACTAATAGAATCTAAAATGTGAATGTAGTAAGTTCATTGAATTTCTATATGATAGCCACAATTAGAAAATTACATATACACAATACCACTTAAATGACATTAAAATCATGATAAAGACTTGTGATGAAAGATGTGCATGCCCTCTATTCAGGCAACTATAAAATATTACTGAGAGATACTTAAGATGTAGTCAATAACAATATACAATATTCCTTACAAGATGCATTATTGTAAAGATGATAGTTCTCCCTTCATTGATTTAATACAATCCCATAAGGAGTGCAGCAGCTCTTTTTGTGCAGATTGACAAGTTTGTTCAAAAAAGTGTAGTACATAGAAATACAAAGGGCCAGGACTAGCCACAGCAACCTCGAAGAAGAAATAAAAAACTTGGAGAACTGCACTATCAGTTGTGAAGACATATTCAAAAACTAGTTATTAATTGTATAGTGTTGTGTGTAAGAAATAGATGAATGAAATAAAGTAGTCTGAAGATAAATCTGCTCGTTGCTGTTAATTTATTTGCATCAAAGATGCCAACTCAAAGTAGTGGGGGTAAGGATGAACTTCTAAATAAATGGTGCTAAACAACTATACATCCATTGTACTTCCATATGGAAAAAAGAACTTTGAAACTTAGACCATTCACAAAACCCAACTGCAGGTTGATTGCAGATCATTAAAATTTAAAGGTGAGCCTGCAGGATCAGTTACAGGAGAGGAGTTGTGGTAGATGAAAGCCAGATGGCAAAGCCCTGAGAGATAAGAGAATGACACAGCGGGGCACACAGCATACAAGATCTGCGTTTTACAGGATTTTGAATTGTAGGAGAATCATAGAGCGGGAATTGGGAACTAATCATGAAACAGCATGAGAAAGGTCAAGAGAAAGGAAGGGATTAATGTAAAAGGGAAAGTTAGATAGATACATATTGGCTACCCTGCCCAGCATGCAGGATCTTAGATTCCCAATCGGGGATCGAACCCATGCCGCCTGCAGTGGTAGCTCAGAGTCCTAACCACTGGACTGCCAGGGAATTCCAAGAAGGGGATATATTTAATAAGTGAAGATAAAGGTCTTCAAGGTAGCAGAACTAGAAAAAGAGAATGAAAAGAGGTTTTTGGTCCTGAATTACTCTCAGATAAGAAAAGAGCACTACCACATTTACTGTTAATGATGTGTGAATGACATCTTTTATAGTATGTCATAATATTTATTTTTTTCAGGTGGTTTGAACCTTTTGTCATGCAGTGGCTAGATGAAAATGAAGACGTGTCAATGGAGTTCCTACATGGAGCCCTGGGAAGAGACAAAAAAGATGGAGTGAGTTTAAATGACTTTCAGATTGCTTAATTTTGAGATTCATTCACACTGCTCACTTTTAAGCTAATGGGAATTATTAGGTTTATTGCTATTAATTAACATTTATTTTAATTCCCTAATTACCAAAATATAATTAAGACACAATTTTAAAGGCTAAGACCCCTAGGGAATTGCTTTAAAAAAATCAATCACCCCTTTGCCCCAAGATTCTTTACTCCTTGAATTGGCCTGAATCTACAAGTTCAGTAGGCTTATACAAAGCTTCCCCATTGCTCTGGAACCTTTCCAGGATTCCAATATTAGGGACAGACACCCTCCCAATCCCTCTAGAGTAAATCAAATGTCTCAAGCCACAATCAGCTTGCTAAACCATCCTAATGCCTGTGGGGAATGAGAAATTGAAAAAAAAAACCACTCCCCCAATTCAATTAATAGTAACCTGCCTCATGATACTAGTTTTACTACACTTTTCAGAAAAGGGGATGAATGATTTTAAAATGAACAAGCATTTTCTCACTGGGAAATGAAAGCACATGATATAGGAGATTGAGTTGTTTTGAGAAATAATGGAGATTCTTTCCACAGTCCATCTAATATGCTTTGGGAATGGTTTCCTCTTCTCTCTTCTCAGTTCCAACAGACATCTGATCATGCGCTCTTCTCTTGCTCCGTGGTTGATGTCTTTGCTCAGCTTAATCAGAGCTTTGAGATTATTAAGAAACTGGAATGCCCCAATCCAGAAGCATTATCTCATTTAATGAGAAGATTCGCAAAGGTAAGTTAAATGGAATGAATCCTTTCTTCGCTGGGACAATGTGTGTGTGTATGTGTTAGTAACTCAGGTCATGTCACTCTTTGTGACCCCATGAACTGTAACCTACCAGGCTCCTCTGTCCATGGAAGTCTCCAGACAAGAGTACTGGAGTGGGTTGCCATTCCCTTCTCCAGCGCATCATCTCGAACCAGGAATCAAACCCAGGTCTTCTGCATTGCAGGTGGATTCTTTACCACTGAACCACCAGGGACTATGGCATGTTTTTATTTTCCTGCACAGAATCTGAAAAATGCTGTTATTTTATAGCATTAGTCTTGTCTGACCACTACCCCAATTCAGTTTTCTAATCCCAGCAATAAAAAGACTGTTTCAAGTTTGTCATCTGACTGTCTTTTTGCCCTTTTTTCTTAAATATAGATTTATCAACTTAAAAAATCAAGTTGCTATTCACATGAATGACTCAGTCATTTGTAATTGATGAGACGACTATGGGTGGACCAATTAATTTATATTTCAGCTTTGTAGCAGAGAATAAATCTTGGAATTTCATATTCAAATGGAAAGTGTTTTTTTTTTTAGCAGTAATACACTGTAGTACAAAATATGTTGAACTTGGATTAATGAAAATTGAGTTCTAATTTCAAATCAGCCAATAACTATAGTGTGAGCAGTTCCCTTGATTTTTATGAATAGGCTTTTGTTAGTTGATTTTGAGCAACCAGATTTCTCTGACCTCTTCCTCCTCTTATTGTCTAAGAAGGCTTATAAAGTACTTACTACTTTGCAAAAGTTTCAAGGGAAATATAAGAACTAAAAGATGCTGTCTCTGTCCTTCAGATCTCAAAGACAGACAGACAGGCAGACAGACAGACAGATAGGTAGAGAGATAATCAAGATCACTTGACATGAGCTAATTGGAAGGTGGCATAAAGAGGGATATTCATGAAGAGGGCCAATTCAATCTCAAGAACAGTGGAATCCACAATAAATTGAGCAGAAGGAAAACTAATGAGAACTAAAATAGACAAAGTTTCCCTGGGAAAAGAGAGCTCATTCAGCCTAAAAAGGTAATGTTAGAAAAGTATCACAAACAATGGGAATAGCAGGAACAAACAGATAGGAAAAGCTGAACTGGCATGTGAAGAACGGGGAGAAACAAGCTGGCAAAAAAGAAAAAACAAAAAAAGAAGTTCTAGGAGAGGCAAAGGTTGGGAGAGTGAAGATGTGTCCAGGTGTCCAGATCTTGAAAAGCTCTGCTTTCCAGGTTGAGAAGTTTAGATTTAATTTTCTGAACTATTTAAGAAGTAGTAAATATCTGGAGATTGTGAATCAGAGTTTTTGAATACAGAGATTTTCATTATCAGAGATTTTGAATACAACAAATGTAAGGATGGAGGGCAAGGACCTACCCAATCCTACACCTGATGGCCCTGTGGGTGGATAACAGTGGACGTCTTGGCTGTTTATTTGACAAGGGCTTACTCATCGCCTCATTTGCACACTTTACCAGCCACTTTCAGAGATTCAGTCATGAAGAACAGTCTCTGACTTTAGAAAACTTATCATGAGATGGCCAAATCTGTAGACAGCTGTGAAAAAATCAAATGCTATAATCAGGGTATCTCAGAGGTTAAAAAAGGTCGTGTGTGTGTGTGTGTGTGTGTGTGTGTGTGTGTGTGTAATTTTAAAAAATAAAGAAAGTCCAAAGCTCAGTGAACTTGTTTACAATATTTAAGATGTATTAATTTGGCAGGGTTGCCTTAAATAAAATACCACAGAATGGTGATGTAAACAGTAGAAATTAATTATCTCCCAGTTCTGGAAACTAATTCAAGATCAGAGTGTCATAATGTTTGCTTTCTTCTGAGGCCACTCTCTTGACTCCAACAATTGACTACCTTAGTGCTTCTGGACTCAGTCCCTCCTCTGTGTACATACACCCCTTGTATTTCTGTGTGCGCTCCATTGCTCAGTCCTGTCTGACTCTTTGTGACCCCACAGATGATAGTCTTCTAGGCTCCTCTGTCCATGGAATTTTCCAGGCAAGAATATGGAGTGAGTTACCATTTGTTTCTATGTGTGTCTAAATTTTCTCTTCTTAGAAAGACACCAATCATATTGGATTAGAGCTCACATTATCGACCTTATTTTAACTAACTGACTTCTTGAAAGATCCTTTCTCCAAATACATTCATATACTGAGATACTGGGAGTTGGTGTTTCAACAAATAAATTTCGAGGGTACACAATTCAGCCTATAAAGGATGTACATATTTACCATGCCACTGCTTTTAACCACAGATACAAACACAAAGGGAGATTACTTCATCTGCATTATCATAAAATGTCTAAGTTTGAGATCCTTTATGAATGCGAGGCATGAGTCACACCCTGTCATTGGCTCTGGTTCTTAGAAAAGTGTAAGTCTTGTTCACTGACAAATGGATTAGGAAAGGGCTTCAGCATCTTTATTAACTGTAGTAGGACAGTTAATTTATGCTGAGTTAACTAGTAAACCAAGAAAGTGTATGATTTAACGCAACAAAGACTGACTTCCTGCTCACCAAACTTCAGCCTTTGGTAAAAATAAATAAATAAATAAACAAAGCCAGATACACTAGTGAAAGTGGTAAGGACAGATTTTAATCAGTAGTAAACTACTGCAATGGGGGAGAGTCCAGACTGAGACAGACTGTTTAGATTTGTCCAGCCATCACTGGGTGTTTCAGAGGCAGAATGCAGGAACAGGGAGAGCACAAGTGGAGGCCCAAAGAGCAGAGGGGCTTGATCCACAGGAAGCCCACCTGGTTTGCTAACTGGTACTTACTGAAGTTAGGCCCCTATCCTTCCACAGAAGGCTGGGAGACAGGACCCTATCTTCAGGTGCTGGCTAGAGTAAATGGTAAATCTTTTGGCAGCCTTGGGTTTTTTCAGGCAGGCACTTTAAGGGATGTGGGATCATCCAAGAGATGTGTCTTTGAACTCTTAAATATTTTGCTACTGTTTTGTTCAAGTCTCGATAAGCCAAGGTTAAGGCCCAGTTGAGAAGGGGACTCAGAGGAGCCTGGGCAGAGCTTGCTCAATAGAGAATCTTTGTCACCCTCCACTATTCTGTGACTCAGGACTTCTAGCTTGAGAGGTCCCACTAGAGAAAGAGCATAAGATCTATAGAGAGCTGTAGAACTACAGTTGGAATGTTAGGCTCGTGAGCAGGGAAAGTGGCTGAATTTCTTTAGTAAAAAATGAGGAGCCCATGAAGGTTTTTAGGCAGACAAGCAGCTGTCAACCTAAAATGTTGTAAAGTATTTGTCTGCCATGAAATACTTTCAACTCCAGTCTTTATATCTACTAACTAGGAAGACTAAGGTAACCTCCCACTTTTAGAGATAATAGTTAAAAATCATTTATTGCAACTTTCTTGAGCAGCTGATTCTAATTTCCCACTATGGGGAAATTTGCAGTGAATTGTGCAGGAGAATTATTCTAAAAAATTCTCGAAGTCTTTTCTTGACTAGCAGCTGTGTTTTGGATGCCTGCCAAGAAAAGAATGAAATAGGGTCATTAGGGACAGTGTTTTTAAAAGTATGTCACATGCTATTTCTGAAACTGTAGTGGGAGCAGGATCAGATAAGAATTGCACATATTACAAAAGTAGAATTCACAGAGTAGTCAGGTTATGTAAGATGGGGACAAAGAAGCCCAGAGTGTAAGGGCTGTCTGAAGCAAGAGGAAAAGAATAGGCTGCATGTGTCACTGAGGAAAGGTGAGTTTTTATTGGCGCAGTAAATAATTTCAGTGAAATAAAGGCACTTTTAACCCATGGGCATTCAATACTAACCAGTTACTATCATAGGGAGATGAATTATCACAAGGAATGAAAAACATTTTCTAGGAAAGTAGAAATTGGCAACCTTCATGGAAAAATAAACTTTTATTAGCATGATTATTTTAAAAAAATGGGACTCTGTGGTTAATCTAATTAGCTGTTTCACAGGAACTGCTGAAGTTTGTTTTATTTCATCAGCTGTGACCATTGGTCTTGAAAACCCTATCCTTCTTAGGACTGGGATCCTTGTATCAAGAGATACTGAAATCCTATTACCTTTCTGGGACATAGACTGATTTAAACCATCCCCTGGAGGAAAGACACATTAATGATGTCTTCAGACATTTAAGAGGAGTTAGCACAGTCAACTGGATCTTAAAAACATGATTTGTTTTCACTAAAGCATATAAAAGACTGAATCAGGTACCAAGCAAATCCTTTAAATTCCATAGCAGGTACATTCAGGAGCTGTGATGAGTGGGAAAATGGACACATAGTTGGAGAATATTCCTATGGCTGTCTTACGGCTCTTGACAAGTATGGGTACTTCAGTTTAAAGAACAGTGAAGTAATATTTTCAGTACTACTTAAAAACAAATCAACAAATGTTAATTGACTCCTAGCTAAGAGTTGTCAATATTATGGTGAATGAGACACACATATTCCTTGTGATCTGGGAACCTAATCCTAATTGTAAAAATAATAATGATAATTCATTGAGCACTACTATGTGCTAATCACTTTACATGTATTGTCTCACTTATTCTTTACAACCACCTCAAGAAATACATACAATTATTTTTCCTAATTTTAATATGACAAAACAAGCTCAGAAGGTTTAAACAATACAAAGACTAGATATGAATGGAACACTTTCATCCACCAATCTATATTACCTTCACATTCCAGTGTTATCAGAAATCAATTAGTAAGTTGAAGAACAAAATGTCACCATTCATGTTTTTCCTTTAAGCCAAACCTAGGCTTCCCTAGGGAATTCTGTCTTATGTTGGATACGTTAAAATACAATGTGTGAAGCACTGAAGTGGCATCACTAGTGCCATTTAACAAATACTGCAGTCTTCTTGTCCTCTATGTTGCTCTGATGATGTAAAGCTCCATGCATAAAATGTGACTGCAGAGATGCATTTGGTCCAGGGTTCTTGTCTTCCTGATTATAAGAGTATACACCTAGATGTCCCTCCCAGTAGTACTGACAAGATATTTAGTCTACTTCTACAACCCACTCCAGTATTCTTGCCTGGGAAATCCCAGAAACAGAGGAGCCATGTGGGCTACAGTTGATGGGGTCACAAAGCGTCAGACATGACTTAGTGAGTAAACAATAACAAACCCCAGAATTGTTGACTCAGTAGACCTGGGACTGGACCACTGAATTTTTTTTTTAATTGATTTAATTTTTTTGACTTCACTAGGTCTTTGCTGCTTTGCAAGGCTTTCTCTCTAGCCATGGTGAGCAGGGGCTACTCTTGGCTGCGGTGGCTTCTCCTGTTGTGGAGTGCAGGCTCTAGGGTACACGGGCTTCAGTGGTTGTGGCACATAGTCTTAGTCCTTTGCTGAAAGAATCTTCCCAGACCAGGGATGGAACCCATGTTCCCCACATTGTCGGGTGGACGCCTATCCACTGCGCCACCAGGGAAGTCCTCGGTCAAGGAATTTATTTATTTATTCCCAACAAGTTCCTAGGTAATGCTTATGATGATGTTGGAAAAATGCTTGAGATAGATATGTCTTAACTAACTACAGTAGACCCTTGAACAACATGGGTTTGAACTTTGGGAGTCCAGTTTTTAAATAGTAAACACTCCCGTACTATATGATGTGTAGTTAGTTGAATCCAGGGATATGGATGAACTGTGAATACAGGTGGCTCAGACAGTAAAGGATCCACTGCACTGCAGGAGACCCAGGTTCAATCCCTGGGTTGAGAAGATCCCTTGGAGAAGGGAATGACTCTCCATCCAGTATTCTTGCCTGGAGAATTAGACAGAGGAGCCTGACAGGTTATAGTCCATGGGGTGTCAAGGAGTTGGACATGACTGAGCACCTAACACTTACACTGTAAGCTACAAGTCAGTTTTTCACTGTGCAGAGAGTTGGTGTCCCTAACCCGCTGGTTGTTCAAGGTTCAGCTGTATTCACTAGTATTAAGAAATGACTGATAGTGATTTTTCTTTGTTGAATAAATTAGAATGACACTGAAGTTGCCCCTGAAATGTACATGAACACCTTTAAGTATACTTTGTATATGTACAAATAAATGGATATTGTTACAGCCAGTGTACCGCAATTCTATGAGCACAAGGCCTTAAACCACATTGTACATGACAAAGCCCTTTTCCCTTAATGCAACCTATCCTGACTTGCAAACCTCCGGCATTTGTAGGTTATTACACGTCAGATCCTAGGATCAGTTGCCTCCCAGCTGGAATTCAAGGGAATGTCTTCATAATTCCTATGAAGCAGAGGCAAGAATTAGACCATGTGGAGACACTGAGAATAATCCAAAATGGCCATCTGGATTCCCTTGCCCAAACTAAATCTTGAACACATGATAGTCTGAGATGCAATAAGCTCCTAAAGGCAGGCTTCTGTTGGTTTTTAATTTCACAATATAGTGAGTTGATTCCTGCAGTTGACACTGTCCTAAGAACCTGTAAACTGAGAGTAGTGTTCATATGTATCAGTAAATCAGCACTCATTAGGTAAGTCCCAAAGTAATTTTCAACATGAAGTCTAAAATAAAATTTGAACAGATGCATTTAGAAAATACTTTAGTCTGATCCACCACCTGTTTTCCTAGATTTGTTAGTCTACTTCTTGATAAGATGTTATATTTTCCAAAGCCAACTTTTCTATTTTAATTGGTGCATGTTTCACTTTTGGTGGCTCAGTTGGTAAAGAATCTGCCTGAAGTGCTGGAGACCTGGGTTCTATCCCTGGGTTGGGAAGATGCCCTGAAGAAGGGAATGGCAATCTACTCTAGTATTTTTGCCTGGAAAATTCTAAGGACAGCAGACCCTGGCAGGCTACTGTCCATAGGGTCGCAAAGAATTGGACATGACTGAGCAACAATGCTTTCTTTTCTTTCCATGAGCTATTGGTTTTCTTTCTGCTTGTTAGCCCTAATTTCAGGTTTTAGGTTTTCATTGTGATGTTTAAAGTCTATAAGATGGGTTCATAGTCACGTTCTGTGATTTCAGGTCTACAAATTCTACATCTCTCCTTCAGCTTAACTCCTTGGACTGTCACCCCAAGTTGATTTTGAGTCACAAAGAAAATTCAGAAGAATGTGTTGCACATAAAAAAGCTTTTGTGTCTTTGCTTTTCTATGAAGAGATGACCTCTATTTACCACTCTTGTAGCTTTCTCTCTTCTAAGAAAATCATGTCCACTTTGGACTTAAAATAATTAAAACTCTGTAGGTAATAGCAGTAGCCTGCAAACACAACAAAATATCTGTTTAAGTAATTAAAACAAAATGCAACTAACGACATTTGTTCATTTTTCCTTTTTTTGCCTAGTTAATGGAAGCAGAGGGCATCCTTAGGCTCAGTAAGAGTTATTAGATAGAGAAGGAAAATGTGGGATTAGGATTAAAAAGGCCAAGGAGGGGAAGATTAGGCAGTATTTATAGCAAATATTGCATCAATAAATAACTTACTATATTAATGGTAAATTAATAGATACTGTGATGGAACAAAAGCTGAAATTTTGGTCTTAAGAGGTGTTCTTTGTTATTAGTAAGGCTCTGTATCATTGAAAATATTCATTGCTAAGTGACACATATGGATATGTTCTGACCCCACTCATAATTCAGGAATATTGTAGAAGGTTTAAAAAAGAACCACCACAAGGAATTTTGCCATGGTAGAGGTGTGTGTGTGTGTGTGGTATGTTGGGGTGAAGGGGAGATGGCAACTAGAAATCATGCCAGATAATGAAAGCATGAAGTGTCAATTATTCAGAAAGAGAAAAAAGTCATTGGGGGCATTAGATAATAAGTGGCCAAGCAAAGAGCAGGTACCACCAAACAGTATGCCTCCTGAGTCTTAAGTTAGAAATAAATCATTTAGTGATGGAGCTGGTTGTATTAAAATAGAATGGATGTGTGTGGACTATCTTCCAAATGTACTCAGAAATATTACAAATTGTCATGTAAATATAAGTTTGAAATCCTTCTTTTGGCAGAGGTATAGATTTAGTCAGTACTATGGCCCTTGTTTATGGGATCGCAAAGAGTCGGACATGACTGAGCGACTGAACCGAACTGAACTAATGGCCCTTGTTTGGCTTCCTAGGTCAGTGGTTAAAAGAATTTGCCTGCTACGGCAGGAGACTCCAGTTCCATTCCTGGGTTGGGAAGATCCCTTGGAGAAGGAAATGGCAACCCACTCCAGTATTCTTGCCTGGGAAATCCCAGGGACAAAGGAGCCTGGTGGACTGCAGTCCGTGAGATCACGGAGAGTCAGAAATGACTGAGCAACTGGGCACACATGTGACCCTTTTCGTCTGAAAAAGTCTTTGAAGTTTTCTGATTGACATAACCTGGATTGTGTGAGTTTGTAGGGATAGATACATATGTAGATATCTATGTACCTGTAAAGTTTTACTTACCTGAGTAAATGTCACACTTTTTTTCCTAGACCATCAATAAAGTACTACTTCAGTATGCTGCAATTGTATCAAGTGATTTCAGTTCATACTGTGATAAGGAAAATGTGGTAAGTAAAAATGTCTCTATTCTCAAATAGCCCTCAATTGAGAACTGATATAAGTAAGCAAGGGAACCTGTTTTCTTTCTGTTTTCATATACATGATAAAAATAGAGATCTCAGGAAACGGTTAGAAAGCTTTCTAGTAGTCCTGAACTGGTATAAAATAGAATTCAGAGGAAGGTTGAGAGCATCTCAATGCCAGTCAGCTTGTGGTTTTCCATTGCAATGAGTAAGACTCATAAAAACAGTTGAAAACCCACGTCATTATAAACACCGGAGCTGGGACCTAGGGGTTAAAAAGTTCAATGTTCACACCAAATAATGTAGTTTTGGCATCAATACCAAAATTAGTATAATTTATTCTTTTAGTTTTCAAATAAATTGAAAAGAATAGTTAAAGTAAGGAGTGATACTGATCTATACTCTGAATTATTAACTTACCCTCTTATTTTTTGGATGATTGACAAATGTTGATAACATCTAAGCCAATATTACAGATTAATGAAAGGAATAAAGAGAAGTAAGATAAACCAAAAGTCATTTGGAATATAATCCATGTTATTTTATGGTGGAAGGTAAAATCTTTCTATTCACCAGAATAATTTTAGGAGAAACATGTTGGTAACATTATAAGAATTTTTTAAAACACTTAAAAATATTTTAAAAGTCAGTACTAGATTTTTCAAGAGAAAAATCAGGGGTTATTTTCCTCTGTCAAAAAATCAGTTCCTACTATCCAGCAAATCTTAAAGAGAACTCTTGCTGAAAACTCATTGACCTCTTGCTGACAGCTCATTAAGTCAGCCCTAATGGTTCTTGAGGGTACCAGAAGATTCTTCTTTCCCTTAAGTGAAAATGCTGCCCAGAAATTTTATTGAAATGCCTGGATGTGTCAGCAGCGATTTCTAATTGCCATTGATTACAAATATTCGAATAGACAAGATAGAGTAATTATTTGTTGAAAGCATCTAATTATAATTAAATTTATAATACAGCTGAAAAGTAATATGTTGAAAATCAAAACAGTGCCAGATAATTTCAGAAAAGATTCTGACTTCTTTGGTATCAAAAATTGAAGACTTTGAAAGGTAGCTATGAATTATCCAGGCCAATTCCTATCATTCAGAAAGGAAAAATAGCTTTAAAAAGCCCCTGTAGACTTCTATTTTATGTTTTGACATTTATAGTTTATTTTATTTTTTAATATGAAAAATATAAATCAGCATATCATCCTCTGTATTTTTCTTTATATTCTATATTTTTCAAAATGAAATTTTTATAAAGAAAGAAAATCATTGAAATATGATAGCACACAAGCTTGCTTTTTTTTTTAATTACTGATGTCTTGACCAGTCTTAGACTCTCATTTAAATGCCAAGTGTTATTTTAGCTTTTCTGCAAAAGGATATCAGTCAGCTACTTAGTTTAAGCTTTCAGCTAAGATAGATTGAAGAAGTGCTTTTGCACATTTGTGTGTGTAAGTGTCACTGTTGTTACAGATATAAATTTTTAAATATCTTTAAATATCAAGAACATTTAAAGTTAATTTTTGTTTTCTCTGTATACTTATGACAATATTCCCATTTTATCTGCAAATAGCACTAGAAACTTTTAAAGAGAGACGCCTGAGAGATGACCGTGATATTTGCTTTCCCAGGGGCTCAGAATTAAAGATGACAGTTAAACAAAATATCTGTGGCAGAATAATTTTTTTTCCTTCTGTGACATTTTAAATTTGGAATGGGTCACAAGGTTTTAATCCATTCTTCCATATTCCACATTATAGCAAAGGAATATTATCTAAATCAGAATTACTTGATTTATTTTTAAAATCTTTTTCAATTCAGAAACATAATTTGGTGGGATCTTAAAAAATACAACCAACTAGTGAAATCAGGTTAATGTTCCCTTTACTGTGGGTATTTTAGTTGTTTATTTGTTGTTCATTTACTAGAGAAGTAAGTAAAAGCTGTTCCCTGATTAAGGTAGAGTTGTGTAATTCAATTCTCAGTAGTGATTTGATAAACTGATTCAATAAAATTGAAATTTGAACATGTCAAGGTCAGCAGAACCTTAATCAAAGAGGAATGTCTCATATTTATTTTTATCTCCCTCTGGATAACTGCATCTCTTTTTTTATATGTAGCCTTACTCAGGTCAATAGCAATCTATGCCAAGTGAGCCCAATTGTCTTTGTTCATTTTGCTTCTTAGTAGCTCTTTTCCATTGGAAATTATTTCATTAAGAAGGCCTGGAGTTGGTTTAATGTGTAAAACTAGCACTAAAGTCCTATTATGTGTGTCAAAAAAAGAGATATGCTTGAATGCTAATATCAAATAATCAGAGTCTACCCAGATAACTTAGAACCATGGAAAGCAGGATGATACAACCTTCACACATAGAGCCTTCCTGCTTCTCATTAAAAGCTGTGCTCGTCCTTAGTTCTTTCCCCTCTGCAATGAAAAAGAAAAAAAAAAAAAAAAACAATGACCCCGTCCCCTAGTGGATAAAGCTCTTTTGGTTCAGTTTGTTGACACTGGGTCAAGAATCTGAAATCCTGAAAATCTGATCATATATGCTACAGATAGGACTAGACTTGGATCCAGAGACTCTCAACTGGCAATCCAAATCAGTTTGTGGAATACTGTGATTCAGCTTACTGAACAGAATCTATAAATCTGTGTTATAAAAATAAAATATTTAAGTGCCTGAAATTAAGAGAATAGAAGTTCTAAATTTTTTTTGTAAATTCAAGTTAGGATGTGGTCACTTTAAGAGTCAAGTAGAAAGTTCTTCAAAGGTGTGTAATGTGGTTGAAACAATGATAAAAATCTCCCCGCTGATGAGCACTAACACCTCTCTGATGTCCTGGAAGTCCTTTGCAGGTTGCTCTCCGATTCGTTATTGGCTCACTTCCCAGCACCTTGGAAGGCATATCCATTTTCCTTTCTTTGACTCCTTTCTTCCCCTGATATGCTGGTTCTTCAGAATCAGCATGTAGCAAATGTTAAGTTATTCCATAACTATGCTGAATTCTGTTATAAATTAATTTCAACCATTCTGAGGACACATCTAGCCCTTTCACAAAGCTTTACATCTTTATGTTATTGTTATATCTCTGCCTCCTTGAAAAGAAGTCAAGGAACATTTTTAAAGTATGTATTATGTGTGAGGCTCTATGCAGCACTCTGGAAGAGAAAGCAGAAAAAGACACAGTGGTGCATATAGTGCTTTTAAGGTCAGCTGGAAAGACAGTCAAAAGCAACTCAGTTGTGAAGTTAAATAAAACAAATGTCAAGTGAGTGACAAAAGGATACAATCTGGGAAAATGAAGGCCCTAACCTGAATGATAGATGTGACTCAAATAGGAAAAGAGGTTTAAGTGAAAGGCCCACAAGCTAAGCCAAGCCACCACGCCTGGAAAGCACAGGCATTCGGTGGGGAAGAAGCCTCTTGCAGCTGCGAGTTCATCATAATATAGGAGAGGGAGATGAGAAGAAAAACATGGCTTGGAGCTGTATAACTAAGGGCCTTCAATACCAGAGTGTGGACTTTAGTGATAGTAAGAATTTATTAAAGGTTTTTGAAAGGGTTGTTTTTTGTTTGTTTGTTTGTTTGTTTTCATTTTTGAAACTTAGATGATGTTTTAGCTTTTGAAACAATGAAACAACAGGATAGTTTAAACTAGTTTGTTTTTCTTAAAGTAAATCTTTTAAAAAAAATCTGAATTTGGTTAATTTTGAAGTATAAAATGCTACATTGCTAAGAGTAAATCAATTTTAGTAATAAGTCTCCAATGGTTTACTAAGTACAATATTAAATTCCATTGCCCAAAGTGGCTATATATTCCCTCTTCTATGATTAACTATTTAAAAAGTACAATCTTAAAGTGGCATAATTGTTCTATTTGCCAAATAGAATAGGATTTCAGTGATAGCTATAGATTATTACACTGAAGGCCAACCCATTCAGTAATTTAATGAATTTCTTGTTTTGTTTGTTTTATTTAAAGCCCTGTATATTGATGAACAATATTCAACAATTGCGGGTTCAGCTGGAAAAAATGTTTGAATCCATGGGAGGAAAAGAGGTAAGTATATTTGTATGCCTACAGTTGCTAAATATCTCCTTAGAGATCATTAGCAGCATATATTTCTTTGCTACAGAAAGTGACATAATCAAGTTTTTACATGGGTTCACTACAGAACAGGAAATGCTAACAATCTAAAATACTATTAACAGCTAAAGTGATCATTATCCACAACAGAATAATTTAGTAAATACATCAGAAGTGTGACTAGGAGAAGGAAGATGGGTCAATAACATTTTGTAGTGTATGTGTGTATATATATTTTAGTCATATATGCACAATAAATATATTTATGTATATGCTAATAATCTGTAAAGTTCCACCATTGCAGATGCCTTTTACTGTTCTGTTCAATGTCAACTTAATACTGACTTTCTTCTGCAGTGTGCTTTGCAGCACTAGTGGTTTTTGATGTATCGCTGGTTTATTTTTCGCATCTCAAAAATCTCTGCCAAAACTGTGTTGTGTATTGTGTCTGTAATGTGTTGTGTCTTTGTCTAACATCTCTGACCTGCAATTCCATGAGCAGAAGAAGGAAGGAGAAAGATTCTTTTATGAGGTTTGTGATAGTAAGCATCTTATCCTTTACCTGGCTGTTTCCCCTCCAAATCCAAAGACCATTGCACTTCCTACTTGTTCTCATTTGCTTGTTTGGATCAGGCAGACCGTGAAATATTAGCTGAGCTGCCGCAGTCTTGTATTTCACAAACCAACATGAACATCTGGGGGCTTGAGGACTAGAGACGGTGCCGCAAGGGAAGGTCAAGCAGCTGTCACTCTCCCACCACCTACTCTGTAAATCAATCCCGAGGGCAGCTAGGATGAGGGGATATTTTTGTTTATAGTTTTATTTACATGGTTCCTAATTATTGTGGTAAGTGCGTGAGATGTATATAAAGCTAGGTTTGATTTCAAAGTCAACGTCTCATTCATTTCTAAATTGATAAGGCTGAAGATGCTTTTTTTTTTTTTTTAATTGGAGTAGAGTTGCTTTATGATGTTGTGTTAGCTTGTGCTATCCAGCAAAGTGATGGGCTATACCTATACATATATAACCTCTTTTATGGAATTCTTTCCCATTTAGGTCACCGCAGAGCACTGAGTGAAGTTATATTGTAGGCTCTCATTAGTTATCTATTTTATACAGAGTATCAGTAGTGTGTATATGTCCATCCCAATCTCCCAATTTATTCAACTGCCCCCACTTCACACATGATGTTTGTTTTAATCCCGTAAAGACATGTATACATTTTCACCCCAATGTCTTTTTCATTATTCTCGAGCCTCAGTCTTTAGAGAACTGAACTATTTAGCATTCTACAAATAAGAAGCGCCAGGATACATGGATGAAGGTACAAAACTTCAAAAATGAACTTTTCTGAGCTATGCTGCCACTGCTGTCTCAGTCTAGTTTATATAAAATAAGGCTTCATTCCCCAAAGTGTGGTAATGGTTTTTGCCTGATTTGAGGGCATCAATCTCATTTTTAAAATTCTTTTGCTGAATCAGGTGAGCACTTGGGGCTCATAGCTGGAGATTCCCTTTTCAATTTAGTGATGTTTTATATTCAGACTTTAAGTCCACTTACTGTTTTGAAAAGTAGTGAAGAAAATACTGATTTTTTGTGTGTGTGGGAAATTCTCTCTTGCTTTAGTGAATTTTAAAGACCACAAATCATTTGAGGATAGAGTTATATTTGAAATGCCACATTTCCAGAAATTTCTCCTAATACTGCTACTATAGCATTACTATTTTGTGGTTGAACTCTGTGAGAGATATACTGCTGAGCTGAATGTTAACCAGACAAATTATGCCTGTATTTAAAGGAAACTGTGTGGGCCAAGCCACCTGCTAACCAAAAAAGCTGCGGGGCGGTTTGTTCACCAACCAAAATTGACTGCTTGTTTCAGATAAAATTGCCCATTTGAAATGTACAGGTTTTCGTGTGATAAATTGAGTTGCAGATCTGTGACTATATCACAGAGCTATATTGGAGAAAACGATGAAAGATGAGCTGAGCTGGGTACCTTCTCCCTTTATAACTCTTGCAATGCCAGTTGTTAAACTCCTCATGCAAAATTTCAAGCGAAAATCAATTAAACAAATTAAATGAATGTCTAGCTCCTAAAAATGGAATTTGTTAGAAGGACAGCATTGACCCTAGCTCCTTTCTTTTCCTAATTTAAATATTTTTTCTCCCTTCCCTCCCCCTCTCTACCCTCTTTCTGTGTTCTTCTATCTCCCTTTATATGAAGTTTCTTTTCTGTTTTTATTTTCTATTTTCATCTTGTGCTGCCAAGAAAAATCTTTAGGCAGGCCATGCCAGCTTTGTATATGGGTTGAGGAAATGTGAGGAAGAAGCTTGACTTGAACCCAAGTCTGAGCGTAACAGGCAGCCTCCCAGAGAGAAAGTATCTACCTTAATACTTGTTAGATGTTAGAATGATGTTAGAGTTGCTGATTGCTACAGTGAGCCTCCAGAACCTCAAAATAATAAGAGTCCTTTCATTCTAGTTTTCTATATGGCAATATTTAAATGGTTCCTTAACTTGAGTCTTTCATAAAGATGAAAAAGGATTTTATTGACAAAAACAAATTTGCTTTTTGATACTCAGAGTAGACACAGCACTTAATATAGGCATATTTGGTGGCCTTTAATGAGAAGACAGTGTGTTTGTACTATTGCCAGTTCCCAGTTGTTTCCTCACAGTGGGACTGGTTATAAAACCTCGACTATTTGCTAAGGAAAACTTTCTCAACTAGATTTTATCCTTCTTCTAGGAGTTTCTTGTTACTCTGTGCCCCACCATCTGTACTAGGCTGTGCACTTCTTGCTACAGAAAACTAATTAGCAAATGATTGCTTGTGCATTTTGCTCAAAATAGTTGTTGATGCCGCGTGTCCTTTAGTTGGCTTCTGACAATAGCGCGGCTGGCCCCTTGGACCACCGGTAAAGTGCCGGCCACTTGCAGGCCTGCTTGCATGACGCTGTAGCTCTCTTGTCATTTTGACCCAACCACTGTTGGGGCAGTTACTCTTTCTTTGCAGGGTCAATCTCTTTTCCCCCTAGAAACAGAGTGTTTAAAACTTCTTTTTTTTTTTAATTTACTCTCTGCGTGGAGTCCAAGATGGAAACATTGCCTAATGCTGTGACAGTCTTGGGGGTCATGCTGTTGACACTAACTCCAAATACAGCCACTTGAGCAGTCCTGCAGTAGCCTGTGGGTCCTGTAAGCACATTCTTTTTCAATGCCCTATTTAGAAAAAAGAATCAAAACAGAAGAGCAACTACTAAATTTCTGCTCTTATAGTCTCTTATAGTCTGCATACAAATTAAGAGAGCATGTTTTGACTTGATGACTCTCTGATTACTCTAGAAAATAGGAATTTTAAAAATTCATATAAACTATGAAGCAAACATATCCTTTAGGAATGAGGCCCAGAGTCTTTTTTTTTTTTTTAAGTGCATCCCAGGTGGTCTTTTATGTTCATATAGTCTTATGAATCACTATAGTAAAACAGATAAAATAACCAAACTGTGGTAGGGACTGATTTGAGCTAGAAGTTAAATCATTTACGCCACAATTCCCATATGATATTACTTGTCCCTATGTAACACTAACAGCAAAACAATCATCAGAATGCCAGGTGATAATTTTCATGTAGCCATTAACAATTGTTTTATCTTTCTGGGGCTTTCTTTCTATAATAGTTCAAATAGCTCAAAAATAAAACAGATATATTTTTGTATATATCATTTTAATAGCTTAATTTTGTCATGAGTATAACTCAGCATATATCAATTGCAAATAAATACTTAGTCCTATATTCAATTTTTCGTGAAAACATATTGCTAACAGTCTACAGAAGGGACTTAGTTGCAGTTGCTTGATCTGCAATCTAATTTGCACAAGTACATGAAAAAGAAAATCAGATAATCCCAAATTTAATTTCTTTCCAGAAAGTTATGAGGTATTGGTTATTAACTTGCATTTTGGTAATTGGTTTAGAAGAATTATGACCATGCTGTGTAAGCAGAGGGTGCATTACTCCTTCACAATATTGTGATGATAAAATAATATTGAATAGTAGAATCTATAATTATTCATAGGCCTGCTATCCTATTAACTATACTTCAAATTCTAGAAGTTAGCCATTATTAATACATTTAGGAGAAATGGAGGGCAGGTATTTACTTAGCTAAATTCTCTCATTCTGCTGACCACAGAGCAGACCAAATAGGTGTTACAGCAACATTATTGTTATTGATATGTCTCGGAAGGATTAAATCTCTTGACTCATCTTACCTTGTTAAACTTTCCTGAACAGGGCTTGGAATCAGGAACATAATCCACCTATCCTAAAACTGTACATATTTTAATGAGCAACTTAATTATCTTTTGTTGCAGAGATGCAAACTATATTGCTCTTCATTTTTTAATGATGAATTCGATGTGTCAGTTAGAAACTGAATCTGTCTAAAAGTGAACACATGTAGGTGATTGAAATTCATTGTAAAACTTACTAGCCATACAGATGCAGCCTTCAGCTAAGCAACCTCTGATCAGAGAGGATAGAAATTGATTTCTGTTCTATTTCAATTGGCCAAGTTCTTTCATACTTTCTGGGCTGCAGGGGTTGAAGACCACGGCTTTAAGGGAAATAATACTTCGTGCCAGTAGTTTTTGAACATTAGCAGGTATGAGAACTGCCCAGAGAGCTAATTATAACACACATTGCTGAACTATTCAACTCAGTAGTTCTGGAGTTGGGCCGCGTGACTTATATTTCTAACAGATTCCCATGTGATGGTCTCTGGTTAGGAGACCACATTTTAAGAATTAATGCTCTTTGCTTTTAGGATAGCTACCAGGTACTTAGGAAGGGGCTCAGAATACCCTTATGCCTTATCTGTGCCTGACTCCTAACCCACCTACTTAAAATATTTTGAGTTTTGAGAACACGTTGGACTCAGTGTATTTGAACAGATCTTGATACAG